TAGGCGCGCTCGCGCGCTTCGTGGCGCGGCGTGGGAGGATTTATTTCTCTCTCTCTCTCTCTCTCTTTCTCTCAGTCACACAAACGCACACGCATACGCACACTCTCACTCTTTTTTTACTTTTTTTGTTTCCCCCCCTTTTTTCCATTCGTTTCGTCACACGAAACGCGAACTCGTGTTAACTGAACCGGGAACGAATCGCACACGCGAGCAACGTTTCAATTATTTATCAATAATACGAGAAGAATCACCGGGCGCGAAACAACTAAATACGAAACGAATATATATATATATTTATGTATTGTAATCGTTTATACATTATAATAACCACCACAGATCAGCTTCGAGATTAATCCTAGTTTCTAATAACGCGTCACTTTCGCGACTACCGTGACGCGTGTGATCTTTTGATATTCAACCGGATGAAAAGCGTGGAAGCTAAGAAAATCGCGTGTCCCGTGTCCCAGAAGAAGTGAAATAATACGCGAAAAAACAACTCATAGACGATTACCTTTTCTTTTCTCTCTCTCTTTCTTTCTTTTCTTTTTTTTTTTCTTTTACTTTATCCCGGTCTCCCTCTTCCATTCTCTCTATCTTTCTCTCCCCTATTTGGCACTCTGAGAAAAACTTAACGAGAGACGATCCCCCCTTCTCCTCCTCCTCCATTTATTCTCTTCTTTTTTCTCTCTTTCTATATTGTTCTGTCTACATGTCTCTCTTTCTCTCTCTTTCAACTATTCGAACGCAAAAACGGTTTCTTCGCGACACGATCAAAAGAAACTCTAAGGAACTGAACGAGAAAAGCGCGATGAAAAATCGGATGACGGTGATGATTATTAACGCACTTTTCGGCTCGTTTTTATTCGAGCTATTTAGAAAAAAAAAAAGATTTCACATAGGACATATAATAACGTATATGTGTGCCAAGAACGGGCCTTCCTACACGAATATCCTTCTTATTCCCTTCTTCTTCAATTTTTTCTTTTTTTTCTTTCTTTTTTATTTTTTTTTATTTTTTTTTTTTTTTACTTTTTTCCTTTTTAATCTCCTTTTCTCTATGTCTCTCGTTCTTTCTCTTCTCGCACACACGCACACATACACATACGTACAACTCTTCGACAATTTATTCACCCTCCCTTTCTCTCCCTTTTGGCTCACATTCACGCCGCTCACGCCTCACTCTCGCTAATATTCTTCGTAGATTAAATCGTCGTATAGCGTGCGCTCGGTTGTGAAAATGAACCCCCTTGCCCGCCGTGACACCCTCGACGAACAAACGAAGAAAGGAAACAAAATCACGTAATAGACGAAAACAACCTTTTTCTTCGTCTTCTTCTTCTTTTTCTTCTTCTTCTTTCTCTTCTTTTTCTCCCTCTTCTTCTTTTTCTTCTTCTTCTCTCGATTCATTCTCAAGAAGAGGACATTGCACGAGAGGTATCGGGCAACAGGGTTCACGTTTGTCCTCGCTAAAGAACCTCTACACGTTATAGAAATCTCCTAAATATATATATATATATATACTTCCCGGCGTACAAATGGATTAAGTATACTTTTTTTTTTTAAATCGAAGTAACGTAAAGAAGGTACACGATCGACTATACTACCTTGGGAAAACGGTGGGCGGTCTTCTGTTTGTGGGACGGCCGCTATTGATGGATAGCAACGACCAGCATCGCCAGAAAAAACGAAGATCTTTTTTTTTTTCTTTTCTTTCTCTCTTTCTTTCTCTCTTTCTCTTCCTTTTCTTTCTTCCCTCGCGATATCCATTCCCATATTCTCCATCTCCCTTACGAGAAGAACGTCACGATCCGTGCTTTCTCTCTCGCTCTTCCGCCACTCTTTCACCATCTTTTTTAAAAGAACCGTGCGGTTCCTTCCGCTATCCACTACTCCCTTTATTCCTCTCCCGCTTAATTACGTATTTACACTGGCTTCTTCGGACGCCCGTGGCTTTCGACCAACCCTCGAGTACACTTCCAACTTGGAACACGCCGTTGCTGCGAAATTGAAACGAAAATGGGGTGGAAAAAGGGATCTGGGATCGAGGAAAGTAAATCGAGGATTTGTTTTTCCCTTTTTCGTGTGGTAAACCGAATGTCCTCTGTTTCAAAAAGAGAAAAAAAAGAGGAGGATGAACTTCAGGGATTGAGGAATTGAAGGATTTTGAGGGTAAAACTATCGAGAATTTATCTGCTTATTTTTCACCGATGGACACTGTGCCGAAAATTGTCCATGAAAAAAAGTTTTTCAGATAATTATTCACGGAACACAGTGTCTTCCTGTGAAAAATATATATATATATATTTCCAAAGGAGTTTTATTCGAGAGTTTTATTCTCAAAATATAAGGGGGATTGATCTCGAGGGTGGAAGATCGCTGGGCGTCCTGCCGATCAACGTGAAACTCATTCGAATGAGTTGTAGATCCTTAAACAAAATCAACATGGCCGCCGTAAACGTATAAACTAATAAAATGTAAAAAAAACAACGTTCGATTATCTAAGTAACAAACGATAGTTCTCATATCTTTTCTCCCCCCTTTAATACGAAATCGCCTTTTATCATTTTTTTTTCTTATTTTTCTCTTTTTTTTTTTCTTTTTTTCCTTTTTATCTTCCTTAACACAATACCTACTTAATATACAGGGAAGTTTGACCATTATTACTTTTTTTTTTTTTGTTTATTTTTATAATTCTGCGTATCTCGATTCGTATTTATCCACGATTCGTCATCTTTCTTTTATCCCTTCGATTAACGCAATTCGACTATATAGAAAATGCGAGGGACGATAAATTTTATACGCGAATCGACCACGTATCGACGTATTTTCCTCGATGATTTTTCTTTCCTTCCTTTTCATTTTTATGAACCTAATTTCTCAAATATTTCTCTTAACCTCTAGAACACGATTTTCCTCGAACGACTAAACATCCCTTTTTATCATTTTTTATTACGCCATCCCTTCTCACATTTAAATTCGATTAAATTGGTTCTCCGCTGAATGGAAAACAATGAAAATCACATAAGAAACGAACAAAATGAAAAAAACAAAAGAAACGAACAAAATGAAAAAAAATAAAAAATACGAAAGA